CAGAGCAATGCCGGTTCTTGCATATTAGATGAAAGCCTTGTTTGCATATACCCACTCTCTGCCCCCCCCCCCCCCCCCCCCCCTCCTCCTCCAATCCACTCCCCCCTCTTTCTCTCTCTTCCTTTTTTTCTGAGGCGTCACTTTAATATGTATGCAAATGGGCTGCGCTTCACGGGCAGATATGTGTGGAGTCCTGTCCTGCAGTCAGGAGGTGTAGGAGAGATTGTGTTTGTATTTATGAGGCATGGGCCCAGGCGCTCTTGGGAGAAAGCGCTGCGCGTAGTAGTGTGGTGGTGGCTCTGCAGTACAGGCAGAATGCAGATATGCCAATAACAGAGGTCATGGTTGTCACTAATGATAAGAAGAGACAATTAGACAATAGCACAGCTGTAATGTAACCCCCTACACATACTCATACTGATGTATACATAGAAAGTCTCACAAGTTCAAAGGCACATAGAGAGAGAAGGGTGGCTACTTCGAGAATATTCCACATACAGCTGCCTCACTCAGCCTCAAAAAGGAATTTATGGTTTGGACTATCTATTGATCCTGGTTTTACTATGACATGGTGAGGACGGTCATGGACTGAACCAGAAGGGACAAGGTCAGGTCACCAATGAGCAAGCGACTTATCAGTCAGGTGCATCAAAAATCATGATCCGGAGGAAACCGACATACAACTGTAGTTATAATGTAGTTTATGCTACAAATGAATTGCCCTTTGGGATCAATAAAGTTTTCTGAATCTGAATAACGCAGTTACAGTATATTGAAAGCCCAAGATCGAGACGCTTGGAGATATCCTGTCGGCGGCCTATGTCCCAGGAGGGGTAGTAGGCATAAGTAAGTAAGTTAGTAGGTACAACCAGCAGCATGTGTACTGTTCAAAAACGTTAAAAACAAGGGTCTGGCCACCACAACACAATGTATACTTGATAGCTGATGAAATATGAAATATGTTCAAATCAAAAATATTCTGTATTATATACAAGAGAAAATACTATCTTGGCACTGTGCCAATCAGTGATCTACTAAGACACTCACAGAGAGAGGGATAGGGAGAGAGAGAAAGAGAGCTGTGCAAATCAAATGTCTGTTCTCTCTCTCGCACACGCACACACAGACACTGTGGAGACACACACAACCCCTTCCTCCATCATGAATAAACCATACTGTGTCTATGAGTCATATACCACCCCCACATCCCTCTAACCCACTCCCCCAGTCGGCGCTGCAAGAGTAAAAACGCTAATTAACGTGATGGCTAGCTGCAGCTCCTGTCAGCAGCTTGTGGGGGCCTCTCAAGCAGCTAGGCTCCAGTGGTCTCTGGTTTTAGCAGCTCTCTCCCTAGCCACTATCTCCGAAGAACCCGGGCCCCCTCATTCATATTCAGCCCCAGTCTCAGGCACCTGGAAGCAGCCACCACCAAAAGCACCTCCCCACAGCTTCCATGTAGTGTCTATCAGCAGCACCGCTCCTGTCACAGCATCTCATAAACAAATACCAAAACATTTTTTTGAGTCACAGAATAACTAGTGGCAAACTAAAACTCCATTTAGGAGAAGTGGGGGCTTTAAACTCCTGAAACTCCATCTAGAAGATGACACAACCCAACTGAGAGGTTGAATCACCCAACGGTGGAGAGAAAGACAGTGAAATGAGAGAGGAGCTGCGTGCCTTGGTGAACTAGCTACGTTACCATGGCAACGCAGCCGGGAGAGCAAGAAACAGGAACATACAGAATCAGTTTCTGCTGAGACTTGCACATGTGGCACAGTACTGCCTCTCCACGGAAAAGAATTAAAGGGGAGGCGTGTGACTGTTCCTAGCTAGATACTGAATGTTCAGTATCTTTACCAGCAGAATTAGGACATTTATGTGATTCATGTGAGTATAAGCTGTTCAGTCGAAAAAGGCATGGTTCAATAGTAAAAAGACTGTGCTCCCATTACAAGCCGTGCAACCGCCTTATGAAACATACATGCTGCTGCTGCTGCTGCCTGACCAAACTGCTGCCTCTTCTCATCAGTGTGAGTCACTGCTTCTGGTAAATCTGAGCACACAGTCCACTGTTTAATGCTACACTTTGGTGCAACAAAAATACTTAAATAGGAAATGGTGCTGCACAGAGCTTTTAGAGAAATGATGAGAAACAGAGTGAACTGAAAACATTGAGTTTTTTGTGCCTATTTTCCCTGCCTTTGCCGCTGCACCGCTCCCTTCTGCCTTCTCTTTTCTCCTCTATCTCGCTCCTTCTTTCTACAGGCTCAGTCTAACCTCCCCCTCCCCTTTCCTCAAGGGAATAAAGGTCGTAACGCAAATGATTACTCAAACCGAGTTGCCATAGAAACAGAGTCATGTGACTAGAAGAGGCATGCATAGACCACAACAAAGAGGAGGATCAGGAATGAGTGCTGGAAAGAGCTGTAGCTCTCCTTGCTGGTGCCTCAGTGTATTTCACTCAAATTCAGCTTTTTAAAAATAGGCAGCAGCGTGAAGCGCTGGGGAGCAAGCACACAGAACACAACTGAAAGAGCTAAGAGCATGAAGGCAGTAATGAATCTAGGCTGGAATACTGCAGTATGTTTCACAGCATACCAGGGTGTGTCCTATTCACCATGTCCTTCTTTCCAAGGCAGAGCTGAGGTGCCAGAGTTCTAGTTTTTATTGAAACACTTTTTGTATTTTGAAATATTCCTTTACAAACATTTTCTCAGACCTCACGGAGCATGTACTGTGTGTGAAGAGTACCATGTTACAGTGACTAAACTATACAATTAAAGACCAATACCTTTCATGAACGATTCTTCTTCTTAACCCTTTAATGGTTTCCTCAACCATTTTGTGGATCACTTTTTGAGTCTCTATATCTACTTGAAACTTGGAACTGAAATCTATCTTATTGGAACATCTCACTTGGTTTTAGGCACTTTTACCATCAAGCTGCATCTCACCCATTTTATAGAGGCCTATAATCACAAACTAGACAACACTCCATTTAGAAAATGAAAAATATATTTTTACATTGCTTTCTTCAAGGAGTGAACATGCCTTAGCTTCTATTTGCTCCTGGCCCATAAGGTCTTGGGCCTTTGTGAACTCAGTGACCTGTGCCCTGTTCAAACTCTCCAACATTTAGCCGAGTTCCCTGCACACTACAACCCATGTGTCTATATGTAAACATTCTACAAAACAAAAACCTATTAGGAATGTATTCAAGCAAATATAAATATGCAACATAAAATAAGCACTCAGGATGGTATCTAATCAGGGCCGGTGAAGCTTCGGCCATTATACATTTTTTTTTAATGATGTCATCACATCTGTTTAACACATAGAACTCAGTGTTTCTTGCACTCACAAATATATTGTGAATGGACACAGTATACTCCAACAGTACATATGCCTACTGTGGGACATTGCTGCTCTTACCCCCACTCTAGTGGCCCTTTGCCTCAAGTCCACCTCTGGTCCCATGAGGCCTCTGCAGCAGCTGAGAGCTCAGTGATGTCTGCAATTATCCCGTGTCTAGACCATGTCTAGTGAGTGTCTAGTGAAAATTCACATACTGCAGTAGGCTTTTCTTATCATATACCAAAATAAACCGTCAAAGTTTTGATGTAAACTACTTCTACTAAACACTTTGGGTTGTTAACTCTATTGTGTTTGTGTAACTCAAATTCAGATTAATTTTATTTGACATTTGCTGTAAAACCACATTGGAATGCATCTGCAAAATCGTTCAAATAAAAACAATTTATTTTTTCAGATTCATTTTTGACATTTCTAAGCTCATTTACTGTAACCATATCTCGATTTATCTATATTACAAAGACACATAGATAGATAGATGTTGCTGTGCATATTACAGAAAATGGGATAAGGAGCACTCAAAATAACAACATAATATAATACAAAAATTGCACTAGGAAAAAGTAGCTTTCAAATATACCAAGTACACTCTGGTATTGGCAGTATGACCATCCTTCACCACTTGAGAACAATAGCCACTACTTGAATTTCCCCATCTGAGCTTCTCACTAAACTGGAGAAGGCAAACCATTCTATTCAAGAACGTCAGAATTTAACCTAGAATAGACTTTCCAAAAGTGAGAGAGGCTGAGAAGTGTGATCAAACTGGAGTCAAAGCATGCTTCTACTACGGAGGAACAACCAACCCAGATTTCAGAACAGAGTCCCATAGCCTTCAATTACTTTCATGCGCTACCCTTGCCTTCCACAAGGGAGTATTTCTGCCATATCAATTGCACTTATGAAGGTGGGTGTATTGGCTTCAAGCTTATCAAACTCAGATTCTACAGTGAAAGAATCCAGTGCACTGGACAGGACTGTAGAGGAGCTGAGGAGCTCATTCAGTGGAAGAATGAGGCACCTTCAGTGCAAGAAGCCGCGCTACTGCAGGGCCTTCATCACGCAAAACAACACTTCTTGTCGTTTTGCGTGATTCTATATATGCCAAATGTGAGATGTACATTTCTCCATTGTGAGTTTCAATAGTTGTATGTATGTTTTTGCATTCAGAAACAGATTGATTAAATGTCACCAGGCTGACCAAAACATTTTGGTCAAAATTGCCATTCTACCACCACCGATTCATGCACACACCAAACTGATACTGGCAATGTCGGTGAAGTGTCTGTAACCATGCTCTTTTTGTCATAGCACCAACTGATGCAATGGCCACTATACATTGGTCGATCAAACAATATTGGATTAAACCAATTAGATTGGTTGACCCACGACCAAAATATTGGTAAATCTCAACTCTGACCAATCTATTGATTAATATAACCAATATTGGCTCAACCAATTAGATTTGTTTTGTCCATCCATTGTGCAAATGAAGACTTTCACATACATTGTATTGTCTTCATTTGGCACCTCCAAACCCCTCCTGTATTTCAACCACAATACTGACATTATCTTTAACCATAAGCACAATCTGCAGGCCATCAGAGAAACAGGAGAGTGAAGATCTAGGGACAAGTGCAGCGCTCATCACCCCAAACAGCAGCTACCGGCACAATTCCAAAGGAAAGATACAAAGAACCCGACGGGACAAACCCCACCCCTGCCTTCAGGAACCCCCCCACAATCAGTGCGGCTAAAACAATCCATGTGAACAGATGTGCACAGAGAGGCACTACTACATTCACTATACATAGTTCCTACATGACGTCACTACATACGGGGATTTGCCGACCCGGCGCCATTTGTGTTGGCATTCTGTGGGCAAAACAATAGAAAAAGAAGTTGAAACGTGTTAATGTCGTGATAAAGTTGAAAATGGTCATCTCCTGCTGGGTCAATGGATGTTCAAATCGTGCCGGAGGTTCCGTTAAACTTGGATTTTACAGTATACCCATCATTAGACTTCATGAATGTGAGAAGACTAAGCTTTTGTCAGAACAACCACGGAGGTTATGGCTTGCGAAGATAAACAGGCAAGAAACTCCCTCAAAACACGCAAGAATATGCTCGGAGCACTTTGTGTCAGGTGCGTATCGTATCTCATAATGTGTTGACAGACGTAATTTACTCAGTACTAACTTGTGTATGCTGATATCTGGTAACTTGAGAGTTTCATTATTTAGATTACTTTATTATGAGGAGGATCGGTGTCGCGTCCGAGGCTCTCGAGGGCAACGTAAATGTATTAAATAGATAATAATAGTTCTATGGTGGGCTAAAACAATGTTCACAAACAGCATTGCTTCTGTAAAAAGATCTGTGTCATAAAATAAACTGCTCTTTACGCCTGGAAAAATCAGTTGCCCACCATTCACCAAAACATACGGTCAAAATCGCGGAAATAAACAATAACAGCAATCCAGAGTGTCCGTGTGGCATTAGCATTAATTAAATTAATTGTTAATATAATTAAAATAATTAAATGGAGCTCCAACTGGTATTAAATCTAAAGTTTTTGAGAAATGTTTGCATTGCTTGTTAATTTTTGCTGCATAATTTGATCAAATATGTAAAACATGTCCGTAGCACGTTAAACTGTGGTGCCATTGTATTAATATACAATTATTTGCTCAAAAGTTGCCCTTTTTTTCCAATTTGCGTTTGAATATCTACATTTATTCTCATTCTTTTGTTTAATGGAATGCACAAACACAGCAGCGTGCCATCAAAGATGGCGTCTCCGAGGAGGTCATGTGACATTCATTGGTCTGTGGGAACTATGAATTGGGAAAGCTTTATGAATACCCATACGTATTGTAGTGACCCTGCATTTATGTTTATGTTAATGCTGTTAATGCATGTTATTCTTCACTGTTAAGTGCACTTACAGGATTGGTTCTGAGTATGGGGGGGCGGGCCTACTAGGGGGGGATAGGGAAGATTGTTTTGATACCACACTCTTTTTTGCCCGGGACTGCAAACGGGCTGCTGTTCTGCTAACGTTGTGGAGCTGTATTGGCGTGGTTACGGCCGACAGTAACCATCTTGTAATTAAGCAACAAGTAGAACACTGTCTCATTCATTACCTCGAGCCAAGACGTTACAGTTTGAATACCCCAACATCAAAGACATGTGGGCAGTTGCCTAGAACCCTGCTGTGAAAACAGAATCAGAACCCATAATGATGGCAATTCTTCCAGGACTCAATCTTGAAAAAGGTTGCAAATCAAACAGTAGTTAATTATACCAATTATATGAATCTATGTGCATCTGCTCTGACAGATTTTATGTCAAAAGGTTCGCTGTCAAAATGTTGGCTTCTCTTAAACGTAAGTAACTTGTGTATATTGTTGCATTTTGACCGAGGCGACAGTAGCTCAGTTGGTAGAGCATTAGTCTTTGGACCTGAAGGTCGTGTGTTCGAGCCCACCACAAGACCTACTTCACGACTCCCGCTGATGACTGCTGTCGTTGTGTCTTTGGGCAAGACCCCACTTTTCCTGAAGCCCCACTGAAATATTAAGGCTCCTGTGGACTCACCACCTGCAGGAGGATCAGTGAGGTGGTACTGTATGTGTACTGGGTGCAGCTCTGACTGACACCCCCCCCCCCCCCCCCCCCCCCCCCCCGACCCAGAAATGGATTAAGGGGAAGAAAATGGATGGATGTTGCAGTTAGAAATAGTTTCATAATCATTGTACGTTAGTTCTGTACAGACATATTGAATACAATTCAATTTATTCAATAGCCCTAAATCACAACAGTTGAATTCTCCAACACAGATAAAATTACCTTGTGACTGTGCATTTATGCCTTGTTGGATGTTTCTTTTAACTGCATATATTTACCTTTGCCTACATCATTCTACATTATGCAATTTACAATGAGGCCACTTATGTCAGGTAACATGGCCGCATAAACACACATACATTCAATTTAACAATAGTAGCGTGCAGTGAATCATCATTAATACTAAATATCCTTCCATAATGGCTTCTAAATTGTTGAAAGTTTAACCCAATCCCGACAGAACTGATGTAACTGAGTCAGGTTTGTGGCTGACTTCTGTTCACTCTCTGGAGCCCCTGGCTCAAGTTATTCATTTATCCATTTACTTGAAAAAGTCGCTCCAACTTTCCTTGTACGCCGACATGCTGTTTGTCGGCACAGAATCTGTAGTGGCCAAACTTGCATGCAAAAGCCAGATCCTGTCAGACTTTTAAAGCTGTGCAGGGCCTGGTTAGTCCTGTGATGGGAGACCTCTGGGAACACTAGGTGCCACAGTGGGGCAGTTGTGACTATAAAGTGCTAAACTATTATTGTGTCCGGAGGCAAGAATCCTCAACCACATTGCCCAGAATGAGTATGGTGTGTATGTGTGATTGGTTGATGGTGGTCAGAAGGGTACATGGTACATACTGCTTGCCTTGCTGCTGTCAGTGAGCCCCAGGACAGCTGTAGCTACAATAGTAGTTTATCACCACTATGTATGGAGGGAATGAATAAAGACACGTGAAGCGTCTTTGAATGTCCTGAAAAGTGCTTTATAAAACCAATGCATTATTTATTTTTTATTGTTTGTGGGAGATGTTCATTAAAATCTTAACCTGACTTAATGATTTCTCAACCAAACTCTCATTGATTGAAATGTTTAGGACAGACTCCCGATGCCATCGGAAGAATCATCTTGAAGGGCAAGTGGCCACACCTTAATTTGTCCACAGTGCAACATAAAAGAGACACTTCTACAACATTAAGTTGTAGAAGTAAAAGCTGCACCAAAGAACAAACCATGCAAACAAAGAACGATGCGTCTGTTCTTTGTATGGGTTGATCTTTTGCAATAGTTCAACAGATTGCTCAGTTTTGGGAGATGGTGGCCTGTACGTGTGTGTGTGTGTGTTTTCCTTTTTGTGTTGGTTCTAAAAAGTATATATTTTTTAAAGCAGTGTTGAAGTTTGCAAATATATAAATGAATGTTGAAATGTGCAACAGTACTTTGGAGCAGAAAGGGCACATTTCATTAATTGAATATTTATCTAGCAGTTGTGGGGTAGATCCATCATGCTTTTGCATTGTGTCGTCGATGTATTTCTTATGGTGCCATCGAGTGTGAAAGCCTATGCAGGACAGGGCCTGATCAGTACTGTGATGGGAGACCTCTGAAACCCTTCACTCACATTGCTGAAGGCTTAGGTTAGTAGCCTCGCAACCATCAATCAATCAATCAATCAATTTATTTGAGTAGGTCATACAAAACAAAAAACAATCCAATAGGAAAACATTTCAAGAAAAAGTAGACACAGCTCAAAGGGAGTAAGCCGAAGTAAAATACTTGTGGGAGCTTACCCCAATCAGTCTTCCACAGGGCAGCTGTGGCTACAGCAGTAGTATAACACTAGTGTTTATGAATGAGTGAATTAATGATGCCATGTGAATTGTTTTTGGGTGTCATAAGTACTGTGAATTTGTGGACGTTTTTATCATGATAGCAAAGCTGACTTTAAACATTACAATTTTTTGAGTGCCTACAAAAATCCTTTACACATTGTGAGTCTTTCCTTCACAGCCAAAAGTCAATATTTTCTTGAATTAAGCCTACATTTATCTTGATTTGAGTACATTTTGGTCTAATAAAAGATTTATCTGTGCAGTACAAGCAAAATGTCTTATTTAATTAGAGGCAATAACATTTTCCATATGACTAAACTGCTTGTACCAATGGCATAAGACAGTCAAAAGGTCCTCAAAGCATGATGAAATCCCATATGACATTATAACTTTATACTATCTGTTTTTCCGCAGGGTTAAAAATGCACAATGAGAACATAAGTTTCCCCAATGGGGATTCGGTTGGTCTGGGGCGTCAGATACGCACCCATCTGTACCCCTCACAGTGTATCACTGACACACGCCAGAAGAGGCTGCTGCTGCAGCAGTTCAGGAGCAGAGTTCATTTTCAGGTTGCATGGTCAGGTGGTCACAGAAGCACTGAGTGGACTCAGAAATATACATATATTCTTGAGAAGGATTTTAGATGGAACTTTTATATTGGAGCGGATGAATATAAATAGCTTATCTAAAATAATGAAATAATGCATGGATCACAAACCTACGACTGTGAATGATAAACTTGAGAGATTATATATATATATATTATATATATACTGTATATATATATATATATATATATATAATTTCTTAAGTTTATTTATATATATATATATATATATATATACACACAACTAAAGCCCTGGGGCAGTGCTGAACACAATGGGCTGCAATGAAGGGAAAGGCTCTGAGAATGTGCAGGTGCGGTGGGAAAGACCCGTGGGCTTTAGGGAGGGAATAGATCAATAACTAATTTCAGTTGCGAGCTTCACTCACACTGTTTTCCAATAAATGCTGGATGGAGAGTGGTGGCTGAGGCTGAGCCCTCCCCCACTATCTCTATTCTATCACCTTCTCCAGTAAGAATTGGACTCAGATTCTTGTTTCACTGGATTATGTTTCTACATCTTTTTCATTGTATGAATTTAATCCAACATTGCCATTTTATTTCCATGTCCACAAGTGCTCTCATAACCATTCCACATAGTGCTGCTGTATCTTTAACATGAGGGCTCTAACCCCTTTGCAGTCCCCTCCCATTCCCTATCTCATCCTTCCCCTTTGGAGTGGGCCAGTGTTGAGGTTTTGTCAAGAATAGAGCGCAGATTGAGACAGACAGGAGAGTGAAGCGTGTGTCATAGGGGCTCTGCTGCTGCTGCTGCTGCTCGGCTCTTCTCCTCAGAGGCTGTGACCTAGATAACCAAGAGGAGCCGAGCGCCGGCAAGCCTGGAGCCACTCCAGCTCCAGCAATGTCAGGAAGGGGTTAGTTGTGTAACAATGTGTCCCATTTAGGTTCTCTTCCCTCACAGACGATCATATGAGCCACATGATAGAAATAACTATTAGCTTAAATAACATTCTTAGCTAGGGCAAGTTTAGTAATCTATTCCAACAACGTTGTGGCAAGTGTATGCCTTACTTTGACTTATCGTAAAAAAATATTGGCAAATGGTTTGAGTTTCATCTTATATGAAATGCACAACCAGAACATGTTTAACAAAGTACATGCATTTTATGACAGGTGTAGACTTTAATGCAATGCCATGGTATTTCAATTGCATTAAATTATACAGATTATCATTTCATACAGCAAGAGAAAATGAACAGTACATTTGAAAACCTAAACTCAAAAGAAACAAAAAGGTTATAGTCCCACTTATAAAGAACTGTAGGAACAACATTGCCATCTGGAGGGAGTTGTTAATATTACATGGCTGATTAAGGCTTTCAAATTATTTTTTGATAATAAAGTTGTTATTTCTTGTCATATGTGAGGACACAAATATATTAAAACAATCAATCACAGATTTCAATACATTTTATGTAATTGCATTGTGAATATTAAAGCCTGACAGTCATTCTTGGGTGTGCTCTGGCTTGAAACAGTCCCAACCATCACAAAGGGTAAATTTGTGTTCAGGAAGAATAAAGTCTTTAAGTTTGTTGGGTAATGGCAGTGCTTTCACCTTTGCTTCCAAAGGCCAGGGTTGAAGGTGTCTTCGTATGAAAGCCCTGCAAATGCAGCGTAGTGCAGGGGGGCTTGAATCCTGCTCTATGACACGCTGATGCAGGTCTGCCAGAGTGTGGGCATATGGATGAGAATCCCCAATGTTCACTGGGACTTCAGGACTCAGGTTCAGTATTGGTGTGTTTATTCTGGCCAAAGTGAGCAACAGCTCTGTCTGCTCCAGAAGTTCAGAAGCTCGAATCGGATCAGAACAATGCTGAAGAAGTTTGTGGAGGCGTTGGAAAATTGAAGTGTATGCTGACCAACACTCGTCTCCGTGATGCGTGCACTGTAAAGACGGTCCACTCTGAAGAATGAGTGTGGCCAGAGGGAAGAGCAAGTCAAAGAAGTCCAGGCTGGTCTGAGTGAGAGACGCGTCTCCCTCTTCATTCAGACAGAGGCTGGGGTTTACTCCGTGGGCCATGAGCAGTTCAGTGGTCTTTAAGCAAAATCTGCCAATTTCAGCTGCATCTTCTGCACTGGAGTCCATTGCTTCTTTTACCAAGAAAACCACTGCGGATTCAACACTTTCACCGTCAACTGTACATGCTTTGACATCAGCACCTGTCAACAGGAGAAAGTTACTATAAAACATAACATTTAAAACTATATAATAGAAGATAAGATAATTTTAGCATGACTATTATAATTCATAAAAAAATCAATATCTATTTAATAATGCATCGGTTTTATATAGCTCTTTTTTGGACACTCAAAGATGCTTTACATGTCGTTATTCTTTCACTCTGTACACGGTGATAAACTACAACTGTAGCCACAGCTGCCCTGGGGCACACTGACAGAAGCGAGGTAACCAGTATGTGCCATCGGCCCCTATGACCACCGCCAACCATTCACACACACACCAAACTCATTCTAGGCAATGACACAACGGCAGTTTGGCACTTTACAGCCACAGCCGCAGCCGCCCCACTGTGCCACCTGCTGTTCCCAGAGGTTAAGTCCCACAACGACAGCAGACATCAGTGGGAGTTGGTGGAGAAAGTCTAGAGTCTAGCATGCTCTTTAATATGATGCCCAAAATTGTGAAGAAACATTGTGAGTGTGCTGTTTTTAATTGTTTGCATATAAATCGCATCAATAAACTGTGGGTTTATACAGTTGGAAATGACTGAAACACTCCCATCTAGTGGAAGATTTTTAAATGACATTGTCTAAATAAAAAGGCGATTTCAAGCAAAACATGAACATCTGGCAACAAACAGATAGTAGACCCCATCCGAACCGTTGCACCGTCCGAATGCACCAGTAAGAACACAGGCAACATCAGGAACTGCTAATATCAAAAAACAAAAGTTGAATAACACACCTCTCTGAAGTAGAAGCTTTATACTCTCTGTGTTGTTCACAGTGAGTCCATCACTACTCGCCAATGCGTGAAGTAGAGGTGTTTTTCCTGGCAATAGATACAAGTTTAAGAGTAAGTATAGATTGAAAGGAAGGCATATATTATACACCAACACACATGTACCGTGTTTGTCTTTTGCATTGACATCAGCGCTCAAATCCATCAATGTAAGCAAACAGGACAGTCTCTCAGATTCTTCACTTGCCAAATCTAAGGGGCTACTCTCGTGGATCTACAAAAATGAAGCGTTTACATGAATTTCACATAGATTTTAATTATCTTAATCGCTCATCATCTTACCCTGTCCCTTTTTTCAATGTCTGCTCCATGTGCAACAAGCAGCTTCACCATGCCTGGCTTGTTTCTTAAAACAGTTATGTGTAGTGGGGTGTAGTATGACACAGGGTCTGAAAAAATGAAATTAATGCAAAATATAGCAATACAATATTTTTTTAGGTGATTTAAGATTGTACAAAAACATATTAAATGGTTCTCAATGTTACAGTAACTTTATTAGCTGTAACATTCTCTTTTGCAACTTAACAAGGCATTCAACACACACTTCCCCTAAATTTCAATGTACAAATATTCGTATCAATATCCAGCAGAGTAATGGTGAAATGATTTGATAATTACCCCAATAGATTAGATCAAACGGGAATAGAAACAATAGCAATAGTTACGATTTGTAGTTTTACCTTCAAAGTTTGGATTAGCTCCATATCGTAGTAGAATTTCTGCTGCATATATTAGGCCGTGCTCTGCCATTTTGAAGAGAGCATAACTGATGCCTTCATTAAACACTTCAGAGTGTGACTCCCGCTCCAGTAACTCCACTAGTGCAGCACAAACACGGCTCTCCTCTTCAGGACTCCATAATCTGTGGACAAAAGGCACAATGACACAGCAGCTTCCGTTTGGGACAATCATTTCTCTCCCTCTTTTTTATTTAAAACTTAAAACATTGTGTTTTTAGCAGCAGCGGTATCATGAGACTACTTTAATAATAATAAAAATGTTTTAGACTTAGACTTAGACAGAATTTATTGATCCACAGAGGAAATTGCGTTGTCACGGTACCTTTTACTATAATTATTAAAATATGAATTAAAATTACATTACAACTGAAATAATTCATTCCAATCTTGGCTTTTGAAATTGCTCCACCCATTTTATCTTTAACCTCCAACTGTGGCTCTATCTCCTCCCTTCCTAAAAACATCTGGTGCACTTCAATGCTACAAAACTAAGTAAAATAAGTGTGTTATTTGTAGACAGATGGTTTGTGATATTATACCACATGTCTGCCCCCCTTTAGGGAAATCCATACTGAGAATTCATAAGAAACAGTGAAGTCATATTTATGACTGAGTTAGCCCTAATTTAGATCAAGAGAAGCAGCACGTTTGGTGTAATTAGGTGGTACTTGATGTAGAAAAAATATAAAACCACTGAATGCTTAGGTTTTGTAAGCACAGGGATTGGAGTTTATTACCTTGGTTGTTGTTGTTAAGTCGTTTCTATTCATACTGTTCTGTAATGTGCACGTCTCCACCATGGGACAAATAAAAGGTCTTATCTGACTTCACTAGATCGCAGTATGACACAAGTACAATGGCCGAGTTTATGAAGGATACCTCTCTGCTTGATTCCCATTTCCTTCCTTGACTCCCACTGCGCTCATGACTGCATCCACAAGTGGCTGGTACTCGTAGATGATCCTTCTGAATCCATGGAGGAAAGGCATGGCGCATTGATTAAACAGTCTGCAACAACATTGTTCAAATATTAAATAAACAATACATCAAATATTAGAATGCATATTTGAAAAATGTATTATATACAAAGAGGAAGATCAAATTGAGAAGAATATTCAAACACTAACGTGAGCTATTAAAATAAGAGTTATCAAAGTAATAACGTTACACACTGACTTCATTATGGGAAAACAACTTATTTACAACATGAAGAGAATACCAACATACAAGTTTAGTTCATCGTATATACGTAAAATTACCGGATAATATAATCATAACGCAACAGAAACGAACCTCGAGTAGCGTGGTTAAAACAATTTACTGCATCCGTATTTTGGTTCCGTCGGTGCACAAAATGCCGAGGAAAGGTTCCGCTTTGTAATTCGCATAAAAAAATACACATCGTATACAAAATCCTTTGAAAACACTTACCACTGTAAGTATCAGTTTCGTGTAGTTTCAACTGACTCACTTTGCAATTATATTTAATTATCAAATGACATATATGATATTTAAACACATGAGAAATGCAGACTGAACGTGGTTGGGATAGTTTCAGCCTTAGGGTGGCAGTAGAGTTACTTTAGCGTTTTGACAGAACTGAATAAAGCCGGGTTATCTAGATATTTTTTACCATCAATAATTGAACTGTAATGTAACACATCTCTGTCACATCTTTAGACCATCTTTTTTCAGACAGAAAAGGGAAAAAATAGAGGACCACTTTCACCCAGCCAATCAGCTCTCAGCCAAAAGCGTCAAATAGCGACTCAACGAGGCCTTTCTTTCAAGTATGCAAAAGATAGATGGATGTTATTGATAAGATAAATACAGCCTATTGTGGTAATATTTAATTATTATTATAATTATGTATTCTAATGTGTGGTGCATTGCATAGATTGACCAATATAAAAATGGTGGCGCCACCTGCACGTTTGAACCAGATCCTGTCTGACCTATAAAGCTGAGCAGTTGTTTTGTCCTAAGGCAAGAAACTTCACCCACATTGCCCACGTTGGTGCGTACGTGAATGGTTGGTTGGTGGTTGGACACACACTGGTTGCCTTGTCAGTGTGCTCCATGGCAGCTGTGGCTACAGTAGCATTTTATCATTACTGTGTATGGAATTAAAGAATAATAAAGACATATGAAGCAACTTATAGCATTAGAAGCGCTTTAGAAAACCAGTGTCCATCTTCTTCGCCTTTGTGCATTTCTGTGTCAGCAGCTACCAAAATCACAGAACACCAGCCTCTCACTGATCCTCCTGCAGGTGAGTCCACAGGAGAATGCCTTCTCCATCAGTGACGATAAAGCCTTGATCTTTCAGCGGAGGCCTCAGGCAAAGTGAGGCTAAGTTGCTCAAGGACACAAAGACAGCCAACATCAGTGGGAGTGGGTAGAGAAGGTCTCGTGGAGGGATCAAACCCACAACCTTCAGGCTCAAAGGCTCTACCAACTGAGCCATTGTCACCCTCAGTTGGTAGAGCATAATAATTGGTTTTCTATATGCTCTACCAACTGAGGGTGACAATGGCTCAGTCGGTAGAGCACATAGAAAACCAATTATTACATGCAGCTATATTCCTCTGAGGAGCAACCAAATCCTAACTTGTTAAGTTTTTCTTGTTTGCTTTGCAACCGTTACAACTACGATGAATTATCAGTGGTCACATTCTGATGAAGTCTGTTATGTTGACCCATGAAGAACATCAATTCCCCCCACTTATTCTGAAACATGAAGATGCAAGCTGAAGTGGCACATTCAAAAAGCTGATGTTGAGGTGGCAGGACTGAAATGATAGTAAAGTTTCAGGACATTGTGCTTTGGCTTCATTCAGTTCCGTACAGAATGGTACGAATTATCAGAGCAGCAGTCTGGGCCAATATCCTTTTGTGCCGACGGCGTATTGCACAAGGAAGATTGTGGATGAAAATAATCATCCCTTTTAAAGGTCAGGAGAAGTTAAGCACACCCAAAGTAGACCACGGCGCAATGAGGTTGATAAGAAATAACTGTCTGCGGAAAGGAGAGAATAGGGAGTTCACCTTGTCCCTTTTTATGACTTTGATTTTTCAGCTGTCAATCCAGTATAATTAATGTCCCCTTAACCTAAAGTTTTCCTTGGTATTTTGTGAAACAATATACAGTAAAAAAAAAAACAACAAGAAAACGATAATATTTGAATTCCTCTTCCAAGTAATCAAGTGCTCTCTAAAGACAAGCATGTATTCAATAATAGAATAAAAACATGTGTATGGCCTTAAATCACTACAGCATTTGTCTCAGAATACTTTCCAACTATTTGCCAACAGAAGATTAGAGAATAGAACAATTAAAACATAGGAAATGCAAGAATAAAAACACACAAGAGCTATTGGTTTCTTTAATGTTCAATGTTCTGGACAATCACTGTCCTCAGACCCTGCTGCATGAATGAGAGGAATTATTCTTATCCGTATTCTTGAAGTCTGGTGTCTGTCACCTTTGTGCTGTTTGCTTCTTTTGCTTTTGTTTGACTCAGAGCAAAAAGCTCACAGCGAAATTGATGTTGATGTTGATTTGTTTTTCCTCCTGAGGTTGAAGTGTGTGGTAAATAGGTCAAAATGTTACTGCACTGCTTCTTGTTCTAATCTGAAGTGAACGTAAACGTAAAAAGAACACTTCTGCATCATGAACTAGTCACTTTTATGACTCATCTTCCAATAAAGGTCACATCCTTACTTTCCCTCTGAGAATCACACTGAAAACCAAAATGGCTCCAGAGCATGATAAGTAAATGGACCTTTTAATGGTCTGTGAATAGCCACTGGTAATCTCCACTGGAAAAAGGTAAGTAGTAGAGACACAGAGGGCATTTGTGAGCAGTTTTTATTATAATAATGCTCCATCGAATAGGGTGGAGAGTGAAAGTAGGTGATGAATTAGTGTCTGCTGTCCAGGATCTGAACAGAGGACGAGCTCCTGAGGTCCCTTAAGGTCACAGATGACAAATACCACCCAATAAGTCCTCCTGGGACTATTTATTATTATGTATAATGGAGAGTACCAGCCAGGACAAGCCGTAGGGATTTAGAACAGGCTAAAAGGTGAGCGAAATGAACCACAGAAGGACACCCTCTGCTGTGCCAGGATATACAATGACAATAGTATTACAATTAAGGCCTCTGTGAAATTGGTAATTGCACAGTGGAAAGTAAGTTTTTTTTATCGAATGAAAAACACATGATTGTAGTTTAGAACAGGCATGTCAAACTCAGCCCGCAAGATCATTTTTAGTGGCCTATGAAAAAAAATTCCATTATCATTATTACAGTTACTTGCAACTTTAATGGAATACTATGCCATGATATAATACATTTAAACGTCTATTATCACAGGAAAACAACCGTATACTGTAGTTGAATACGTTATAAGAAAAATGTAATTAGAAGATAAAGTTACTTAATCATTATTATTTCTATCAATCTTGTGGTTTCAACCACAAGTTGTGGTTGAAACCAAAACTACCAAAAAATAACATCCAAACTATTGTCAAATACAGGTAATTTGGCCCCCGACCAAAATGACATTGACATTCCTGGTTTAGAAGATGAAAATGAATGTGGTTCTATATTTTTGTGAGTCAAAGAGCGTGGAAGTGGAAATAAACTTTAGCGCTGTTGTATTTCACTTTATCTCTGTTCTTACGATATGAAAGACATGAGACCTTTATCAGAACTTCAAAGAATTACGACTTGAGCGTATAGAGGCCACTCTGCACAACCTTCTCACACACCTAAAACCATAACACAAGATAGATTTTTGATTTATTTGACATGTGACATACGTTATAACTATTTTAGGAAAGAGAAAAAAAGGCATCGGAAATGAGTTTACCAGGTGGGGAAAGATGGAATATTCAGATTTAATGGTTTGCAGTTGCTGGGCCAGACGCTGTAACCTGAGTGGTGTCTGGCACCGGCTCAGATGAATGGACTTCAACACTGCGTGGGTTTGGGGGGATTTGTCTGAAAAGTTGGCTCTGCAGGGGCTGGTTTTGGACTACCCTCAGGCCTAAGTGAGTCATGCTCTGCGTTACTGTTGCTCCACACATCAACACTCAGCACCAAGCTTTACATTGGACCACTAATGGCTTTTGCAGATGTAAAGCAGAGTGCGAGGAGATGTGTTCCCGGAATTGAATATCTTGGATCTTAGACCAAGCATGCACATAAGGCAAATAGCAAATAGTGCTGAGAATTCCAAACAATTAAAAACGTCTATTTATATTTAGGCTATACTATTCAAACACAAATTCATATCCTCAAAGATGGGGTACCTAACTTTTTTACACACACACAACACAACAATGCTAACACAAATAATATTTGTTGCAGTAGCGTGTTGTGAAAGTAAAAATTTGTGATCAAGGCCAAAAGTACATGCACGTGAAAATCAGTGATGGAACCAAACTCTTTTGAGTGTGAAGAATTTGTTAGATTAGTTTAATTACATTGATTATTATTATTATTATTATTATTATTATTATTAGATTATCATTTGTACTTTGAACCCCCAGATTGAATTCACATATCTGCCGCACGGGGTCGCTAGAGCTTGAGAATCGGGTTCATAAAGAGGTGTAAAAAAATACCAGATTTAACTTTCCAAAGTACACTTTTTAAAAAGGGAAGGAAGAAAAGTATTGTATGCATCATTGACATATTTAACAACATTTAGAAATTGAAAAGTCCAAACTTTCTTTGGATAAAAAGTGTTGTTTCTACGGAGGCTGGCAGGTGCTGGTCCACGGTGGTCCCCTCTCAGTCTCCCCCGTGGCGCTCAGTGATACAGCACAGTGCAGTGGGTGAGCTCTTCTCTCTCTCAAACTATAGCGTGTCCTGTCGCCTGCAACCCTCCTCTTCCCCCCACACGCACACGGGCGGCACGGGTCGGCACGGACTGCTGGCTGCTGCTCTTCTCATCCATCCCCAGAGTTATGTCTGCTGTGTGAGGAAAGCCGTGCGCTGCTTCTCTTCCCGCGTCACTTTTGGACTTCACCAGCGCCTTGACTCCTCCTGAAGACAGAGAGATCCCTGTTTTGACTTGATCTTAATTTTATATTACAAGATTATGCCCTCATCGGAAGGCGCATGTTGGGGCGATGATATCCTGACCATGCCATGGACTTTACGCACGCGTCAGCAACTTGGAAAGCGCACAGAGCCTGGGGACAAGCGGAGTCGCGGTTGAACGAGACTATATATTTTTTGTTTTCTTCAAGAGGTTTCAACTCGTGACCTGTTTGATGACAACAATCTGAGTTGATCTGACTATTTTCACACTTGCAGAAATGTTAGAAGGAGAGGCTCTTATGCTATAGTTGGGACTCGAAGGTGAAATTATCTCAAACACACGTCATACTTTACTGGCCTAAAATTACAACACAACCTCATCTCCAAGTCCATTGAAATCCTCCCTGTAGTGATGCTGTCTTGTTTTTCCTCATTCTAAAGACATCCTTCTCTGTATACCTCGAAAACATGTTGCTCATCCTCGTTCTCCAGACGCTGACTCTACATTTGGGAGGTAAGCACATCTCTTGCATTATTTTGATATTTCAAAATAAATCTGAAGCCTCTAAACACAATTATGAATGTGGAATAGGAACGAGTAGAATTGTTAATCAGTGCATTGTCATTTTTGTTTGTGTTTTGTCATTATATTGGTTGGTTAGAAATATCCTTGAATACTTTGTTTCCTTGGTTCTGGCTGTATTGTAATAAACTATAAATTATAACATAGGCAAGTTTAAATGTTACTCTAAGCCCCACATCTGTCCAGAGCCTAGACATAATTATTCTGCCACTTTTTACAGAAATATGGAATCATGTACACTGTCCCACATGTGTGCATCCATCCTGCTGGCAGCCTGTTTGAACCTGGAGAGTTTGAGCTCCAGATTGTTATGTATGAAATGGTTTTAGACATTTATTTCTGCCCTAAACTCCAGTAAAGCTCCAATGACAGACATGATGAAGACAATTGCTATTCCATGGACAAAAGCATCATTTTTAATCTACAGCCTCCTGGTATGAGAGCTCAGTCGCTGTCTTCAGGTGTATGGATAATGATATTTGCCATATGCCGAGGCCTCTACAGCCACCATCCCCAGCATGGTTCTAATTAAGCATTGTGTGCCAGGAAGCCACAGGAAATGGCTCTCTTACTGTGAAAAGTGATGGAAATTGATAACACACACCAGGAACATTTGTGATAAACCCCTGCTTGAAAAAAAACGTGCTGCATAATTGGGTGTATTGAGGAATTCAGCTATCCAAGCATGGCAGCAGTACCACTTTGCTCCCGCTCTTCACATGGAGTCAATGTAACCATTTTAGATTACTGTAATGTCGAGTGTTTGTCATTTATTCTTGTTTTGTTTGTCCAAAGTCAGAATGAGATTTAATTTGAGAAAAAGAAGAAGCTTAGAAGTCACATGCTGCTTTATCCTGTCCCTTGTCACTTGATCTCTTGTTATAGCCTCACAGTGATTGTTCAGTTGTTTCCTCTAGCCATGGATGTCAGCAGTGTGGTTCATATAGTGTGCATCCTCTACCCTTGGTGCTCTTTCAGACTTTTACAGCATCCGTCCTTGAGTGAGGAGTGACGTACAGTCTGTTGTGAGCTTCGGTTCCCACGTCAGGATCTTATACATTGTGCCATAAGTTTGCACATTTTCAATACCTCTGGATTCTTAACACGCTTCTAAAACGTTATTCCTGCAATGTTGTTACTTTGTCATTGTCAAATCGCTCGGTCTCTAATGAAATTCAAAGGCGTACTTATCATTCTTTGTCAAATGTCATTTATTTTTTTGTAAATGGGATGGAAATTACTATATTTGTCTTTATGTCAAGCGCGGCCTGATGAATGAATCCGGTTTTCATTGATTTGCCTTGAGCAGGGAACTTTCTTTTATTTCAGGTTTCAGGGATACACTTGTTTGAAAGTGATGGCGTAGTGCAGGTCAAAGTCAAAACAACCAAATGCACTGTCAAATTTCCACGAAAACATTGGTGATCAGGAAAAGGCCCTGTGCCCCTTTGTCTGGGTACATACATCTAATATACAGTATACTGTGTCTTTAAACAAGAAATGCTCACCAAATTGGGCAATGTTCTGTTTATTTTGTATGAACCTGTGCCTGGTTTTTATTATTCATCTTTTTTGAGACACCAAGAATTATTTCACATATTGATTTTGACAACTTGATGACTGAAATAGATTGTACTGTAGATATTGCCTAAGCTAGACAGCCATAAGCTAAACTGCATGGTTTGGGTCAAAACATTGTAAAACTTTTGTTATTATTTTTCTAAATTACAAGATTTTTAAACAGACAGCTGCAAGAAGAGAGATCTTGAGAATTATAATATACACTTGTTATAATATATACATGTTTATATTTTCTAGTATATAGTGTTTATTTCGACAGATAATTGTGTGTTCCCTTTATTTGATAGAGGATTGCAAGATTCAGTAGCCTATTTGCATAAGAAAAATATAGATAAAATGAATTCACCCATAATTCCATTTCCATTGTGACTTATTTCATGCATCTCTGCACTTTTTGTCCAATATCCAGGCAAAGTCTCAGATAATACTGTTGAATACTGATTATATTATATGTAAAATATGCAGGGGAGGCTATAATAAGTTCCTCTACAATCACTGAGTCAAAAGAAAGAGCCTTGCCCCCGTAAATCCATATATCATCAGCACAATATTTCCACACAGCACATCTGCCCTCTGTTAATTGCCTCTTTATTATAGTGTGATCTCACATTCAATTTAATCAATTTCATGATTAGGGGATGATAATGGACGGAAACGGCATGAGGGCTGCAAAGGGGAGATTGGTGTTTCCTTTGGGAGCAACACTGCATATTGTGCATAAACATAATTTGAGCATAGAAAAGAAAGTTTAATTTTCTCTTATTAGATTACTAGAAATAGTTTCCTTTTCATCTGGACAGTTTCTTTTAAATGAGACATTGCTCTTTTGAAAGTTCGTTTAAATCAAGAATATATTGAACTCTGTGCTCTTTTTTGTTTAATTCAAATTGACCCTCACACACAAAGCCAACTGGTTTGATCAAACATGTTCAAACTTAGGCCCGTGGGCTAAATGTGGTCTGCGGTGTCCTTTTATGTTGCCATCGAGCCTCTGTCACAGTGTCATCCAGCCAACTTCAGCTCGATATGGACTTAACATACTCCATTTTAAAGATCAGGACAGCTCCCAATCCAGACAAAACAAACATTCTTTTATAATTCATGTTGTCGGCCTGTGTGGCTGACTAAAGAGGTCCTTTTAGTAAAACATTTGGCCAACCCTGAATTTAAGGACAGAAGATCATCTCAGACTTTTGGGTTTTTAAAATAGTCTAATATTGCACTTCCTGTGGTCACAGAACTAAGAGCACATGCTGCCTAATGATGAGTCTGGTAACAGAGGCTAAAAGGAACCGTGTACAGAGCCCGGTCAAATCATAGAAAGTTCATTAGATCCTCCTCAAGGCAAAACCTTTGATCTGTTTATGCTACATTTACTTGTAAAATCAAGTCATTTCAGTTTATTTTGTGTCGTCCAAACTCACAACAGCAGTTTTCTCAAAGGGTGTCAAAGAATTATTGGTTGGCCAACAGATTAGAAAATCATACAATAAAATAAATGGATTATTTATTGTAATAATAATAATGCATCTGTTTTATATAGTGCTTTTTTTGGACACTCAAAGACGCTTTACATGTCATTATTCTTTCACTCTACACACGGTGGTGATAAACTACTACTGTAGCCACAGCTGCCCTGGGGCACACTGACAGAAGCGAGGCAACCAGTATGTGCCATTGGCCCCTCCGACCACCACCAACCATTCACACACACACCAGACTCATTCTAGGCAATGGGGGTGAAGTGTCTTGCCTAAAGAAACAACGGCAGTTTGGAACTTTACAGCCGCAGCCGCCCTACTGTGGCTGGTGTTCCCAGAGGTTAAGTGTCTTGCCAAGGACACAACGACAGTAGACATCAGAGGGAGTCAGTGGAGAAAGTCTTTAGGTGGGCTCGAACCCATGACCTTCAGGCTCAAAGGCCAATGCCTACCAACTGAGCCACTGTCGCCCTAAATATAGTTGATACAAAATGATCTCATGTCTCAGATGTGAAACTAAACACACTGTATCTCCGTGGAGTTAGGAGGATATACTGTAGCACCTTTATGAGCTGCAGACGTGCCGGGACCTAAAACTTTGAGCGAGATTCTTTCCTGTCAGCAAAGATTCATCAATTTCCCCAATAGTTTCTGCATGTTTGATTAGAGTCCTGGTGGCAGGTGGCTGGACAAAGGGCTGTCAGTGTGTTGCGTGTGCAGAGCTGCTGCTGTCAGAGCCATCCCGGCAAAATGCATTAGTGCCAATGATGTGACAGGTACATATTGTCAAGGCCCATTGACTTCTTTGTGGTGTGGCTGATTGATTGTCAGGATTATGTTAAAATGGAAGTGGTGCGGCTCTTTGTGATTCAAAGTGGCGTGCCCATGCTGCAGAATGCCGAACATCAGCCTTTACACTGGCCCTGAATTTTAATACAGAAATATGAGTTGTGCCTATTGAGAGCTCAGATCGGTGAATAATCACTGTAGACTGGAGTGTGTTGTTCTTTCAACTGTGACAGAATAGTAATCCACTGCAGTTAAAAGAAATACAGGGGGACATGAAACCACACTTAAGTCCTTTAAAGCACTTTCTTTGTTCCAAAATGGGTATTTCAAGTTTGAGAATAATATCTGAAATATTTGAACCCTCCCACCTTTAAAGAGTGTTCTATTATACATTTAAATAATAAATAAATCAAGGCAAGGCAAGGTTTTTTGTATAGCACAATTCATACACAAGTCAACTCAAAGTGCTGAACAAAACAAGATAGAATTAAAATGATAAAATATTACAGTATATTAAAAGGAACGAAATAAAAATAAAATCCTTCAGTTGTATGCACAGCTAAATAATATATCAATAATGAAACTGCTAATTCATACTTTTTAACTGGACCAGTTCTGGCACTTTGGTTTGGTTTGGTGAAGTGAACCAGAATTGGTCCAGTTAAAGTGAACGTGCACTAACTCACTCTGGTTTGTTATGTTTCATTTGTAGAGATGTGAAAACACCACTGGTCACAAAAGTCCTTTCACTTCCTTTGAAATGCATTGGACTGTTGCATTTGCTTCTTAATTAACGGATCTGAGTCTAGTTTACTCTTGACCTTAAGTGTGAGTGCGCCCTAACGATCACCCAATTATTCAGTCATATTCTGCTGGTTCGCACATGTATCTGAGAAGGCTCCTCTTGACGGGGAGGAGCAGTGGCTCTTCTCAGAGCTCCTCTCGTGTGACTGAGCTCCTTACCCTATTTGTAAGCTGCAACTCTGCAGAGGAAACTTATTTTAAGAGCTTGTATTCATGATCGTTTTGAATACATTTAATATTTATGTTCACATTCAGCCTTTTGTTATATTAGCTTCA